ATATATATATATATATGAGGTAAAATGAGCCTTCAAACTTGAACATATCAAGCAATGATTTCATAGTTTCAAATCAAACAGGTGTTTCTGTATGAATGGAACAAACATGAAAATACTTCTTAACCAACAATTGAAAAAATTTTTATAAGAAAGCATCACCACAATAAAAATTCCATAATATGGCTAAATTCTCAAAAAAGTTTTGTGTTTTCATCAATTTAAAAAAATTTTAAAGTAGCTCATCCATATCTCTGCAAACTAAAATGAATGTTTGATCCAATTTTAGAGAGAGTCAAATGAAATGGACCAGAGTATGCCAATGATCCTATGAAAGGTTCTGAATTTTGCACATGCAGACTTGAAAATATGTGCATACTTACAAACTCTAGAATATGCAATGCAAGGAAATTTTATTAAATTTATGTTTCTATGCATCCAAGCAAAAACAGTGAGGTGTGATCCATTTTCTGATAGCTAAGAATGTTCTACCAAATGATACCGTATTTTACGGACTATAAGACGCACTTTTTTCTTCGAAAAATTGCCTCCAAAATTCAGGTGCGTCTTATATTCAAAATTAATATAAAAATGTCCAGTGTTTGATTTAAAATTCCCGCCAGTCTTAAAAATGGCCATATATTTGATGCGTGGGAAATCTATCTCTATCTGGCAACATTGAATTCAACTGGCAGCAGCAGTGCATCGATGCGACAAATATGGGTGCGTTCTTTTATTCCTCCACGTAACTTCGCGTGAGCGACATCCGTTTAAAAATTCCTGCGGAACGCATTCCTAAACAGTGCGCATTCCCGTCGTAGTGTGCGCCGTTGAACGGCAAAAATGGCTGCTTGTAGCAGTAGTTTGAGGTGGAAAGCAACACGGCAACCTCCATGGCTCAGATAGATTCGTTTTGGGGTCCATTACCATATGTGGTTTTATGAATGAAAATTTAGAAATTGTGAAAGCGCAAGTTAGTGCACGTGGTGATGTATGGTAAGTGTCTTTTCGAATTTTTTTCGGATGGTAGTCAGCATTCTAATTTTTTTCGTGGCTATTTTGAATGTTCTTTCAACAAATAATCCATTTTATGGTTAAATTTTATAATTGGGACTCTTCTTTTGCCTTTAAAAGCTCATATTTTAGAATTACAATATTTTTGTTATTAGCTAACAATTAGAACTAATGGTAAAAATGTTATTTTTTTAAAAAATTGCTTAAAAATTAAGGTGCATCTTATAGTCCATAAAATATGGTATTCATTGGCAAATGATTTCCACATATAATGTGAATAGTATTTCAAACATGAGCAAAAGTATAGAATAAATATATCAAGGATTAAAGTCTGAAAGGTGATGAGTGCCCTGTTCAAGCAAATATCATCACACTAGAAGATGTTGCAAATGTGGATATGCTTATGCAGGCCAATAGACACATTACAAAAGATTAAATTGCCACTGAACTCACAAGAAGAGAGTCAGACATTTGGATCTCCGATTTGAAGAAAACTTGGTAAACATGTAGCCCTTAAAACAAAAAGCTCTGTATCCAAATAGTAAAACCCACTTCTTAAGTATTTCTGCAAAATGCACCTCTGAAAATTGAGTAAATACACCTACAACTGCCATAAATGATCGAGCTATATTTTGGATATATGATTATAGATTAGAAATGAATTTGGCACTAGAGTGAGGCATTAGGCACCATCTCTTATTAAAATTAATAATTATAATATTTAATTAATTAATTTAGATCATATATCCAAAATATAGCCTGATTACTTATGGCAGTTTTAGGTTTATTTGCTTAAGATATTGGGTTTATGACTGATGTGTATATTTGAAAATTGAGTGTTCAACTTATAAAGCTTTGAAAGTTTGCCATTTTCTTGGAGCGTCAATAGCCACAAGGACAAGATGCTAGACATTAAAGTGAACATGGGTTTGATACTTTGCAATTTTACTGTATTTTTTTTAGCATAATGTAATTATTTTATCACATAGTTAGCATTATTAATACTGTTATTTTTCTGCTGTAGCATTTTTATTTCTTTTAGTTTATATAGGCTTTATCACTCTATTTGCACAACAAACTTGTCTTTTTCATCCATGCACAGTAACATCTGAAGCTTATTTGCTCGTGATGACACAGTACTGTATATGTATTTTTAATTAAACTTCCAACTTTTCACATCCACTTTAATTTATTGTATAAGCTTTAAACACAAAGAACAACAACATTAATGATAATGCAAATAATACAGTAAAATAATAAAATAATTACACTACACACAAAAATAACCAGTAAAACTGTATTCTCAAACCTACATTGCATCACTGACACTTAGTTTCTTGTCCATTTAGCTATTGCTGCTCTGAGAAAACAGCAAACGTTGAAAGCCTTATAAGCTAAATACTCAATTTTCAGAGATGCATTTTTTGGAAATGCTTGAGAAGTGGGTCTTATTATTTGGACAAGGAGCTGCTTGTGTTAAGGACTACATGCTTACCAAGTTTCATTCAAATCAAAGATCCAAATGTCTGACTCTCTCTTTACCAGTATCAACTATGAAACAGTTCACAAAATATTGAATGATCTGCAATCTGCACATAATGGATTTAAAAATGCCTGAGTCTCAAATAACACATTGCTTGCATGAGTGCCAATTTGATGTATTTAGACCAATATAGAAATGCTTTCCCTTCTGTATATCATATAGTCATAGTTGTGATGTTATAATTTCAGTCTGGGAATCAAGCAACACAAGCATAAGGAGGAAGCCATGTCAAAAAGCATGACTGATAGCCAGCAAAATGATGCCAACTTTTTTCCTCGATGAACTTAGGTCCTTACTCATTGAGTTCTTCTAGCTAGATGGACAATTAATACTGCATATTACTGAGACACTCTTCAGGCATTAAGTTGTGTTATTAAAGAACAAGTATCCAGGTCTTATGACAAAGTTATCCATCTCTACAACATTGTGCACACTCATGTTGCACAATCCAGTACAGACATTTAAGTGGTAAATGCTTATCCATCCACCATACAACCCTGATTTGCCACAATGTGACTTTCATATTTTCAGTCCTCTCAAAAAGGCACTCAGAGGAAAATGTGTCCCATCACACAGAGCTGTGCAAGAACTGTCAAACATTTTCTTCCCTTCGGCCTGACGGTCGAGCTGGAACAAGCTAGCGCAGAGGAAGTACATTTCCTCGAATCGGAATAAAGATAGTAGGACCCACCATCCAAACAGCCGTATACCACAAGCCCTCGTCCACCCCCACGTACATACCAGCTGGTTCCTGTGACCCGTTCGCATACAAGGCAGCCGCATTCAGAGCCCTCGTGGAGAGGGCGTTCTCACACTCGTCCACCGAGCAAGCCCTGACGAATGAATTAGACCGCATCAAAAAAATAGCAACTGTACACGGCTTCCCGAACATAACGCACCGCTTAATTGAACAGTACCAGCACCGGAAACGCACCCTAACCGCAGCGACCGCCGCCGACCCGCAACGGGATAACCCGACACGGATCCCCATCACATACAACCCGCACCTCAAGACTATACATAGAAGAATAGCCAAAGAGCACGGGATTCGACTGGCATACAGAAGATGCCCCACGATTTTCCGCATCCTAAGAAACGATAAAGACCCTCCCGATCGCACCAGACTCCCCGGTATCTACTCTATCCCGCTCCATGACAATAGACAAAACGCAGAGCTACTGTACATCGGCTCAACCAAACGCTCTTTAAGCACCCGCCTACGTGAACACCAAGCGGATATCCGGCACGGCAGGCTGACCACAGCCCTAGCCACTTATGCATCCGACCCCGAAGTCGAGGTGCACTTCGAGAAGGCTACCATTATTGTCAACACGCCCCACCAACAGCAGCTTAGATGGCTGGAAGCCGCGGCTATCCACAACGCCGACCGGCTAACTGCCTGCATCAACCGGAAAGAGGAACTAACCTTGTCTCTGGCCTGGCAATCGCTATTGGATGCCAACCCGCCGTTTCCTCCCCCTGCCGCACGACCGCACACACCGGAAGAGACCCACCCCCTCGAAACCGACACCCGATCCCGGAGAATAATATACACTCCATCCGGGGAATTCCTTCAGTTGACCTGAAGAAGAGCGGTTGGAACGCTCGAAAACGTTCGTCAAGATATTTTAGCACATTCGTACGGAGCACCGGTAACAGGTTCCGTAGTGTGACGTCATTTTCATCCCGGTGCTGTGGATAGGATAGTTTCTGGATTTATTTTTAATAATTTACTTCTAATTTAATTAATTATGTTTCTATATGTATTCAAAATATGCCTTTAAATTTATTGTTATAAATTGTATAGTATGTCCCAAATGTTGGTATTACCCATATAAGTTTAAAAAAATTAGGCTCACATAACTTAGTGGTCTGTACAATTTTCAGACATTTTATTGGTTCTTGGACTTAAAAAGGTTGAGAAACACTGTGTCATATGATAGATTATAAACTGCTAATTTAAAAGACAACAGTTTACTGGTTAATATTATAAAATTTCTAACTTAATAACCAATAAATAGCAAAACAAAGTCTTTTTGTTTTGCTGGTTGTTAGTTATTGAGTTAGAAGTTTTATTTATATAACTACTAATTTTTAGTTTAGTGAATAAAATACTAACTCAGTTTAACAAAAATAAACAAAATCTGTCACTTAAGAAATGTCTTTAAAATCATTGGTATTTTGGAAATATTGATTACATAGTATATTTCTAATTTCCCAAAAGAATTCTTATAATATTCTGTCATAGACACCTACACACATCTATGCACACATAGTTATGAAATAAATATTAATTTAAATTCTCATCTATTATCATTTATGACAACATAATTTCAGAAAAAAATCTTGATTTATTGAAAGAAAAAAATATTGAAATAAAATCAAGAACTATTTAATATAATTGTGCACTATTTGCAGATATCAAGTTACTTTATAATAATACAAAGAATAAACTTTTTATTTACCTGGTTGACTAATACCAAATATTTCTTTACGTCTTTCATAAGAGTGCCTCGCTAATGAGTTTAAATCAATGTAACTTAAATACTAAAAAGAAAAAAAACATTTTAAGTTATAATATTATGAAGTTTTCAAAAATATAAACTTTCTTATATACAGTGGTAACTTGAATTACAAGTTTAATTAGTTCCGTGACACTGTAAAACGTCTGTAAAACTGGTTTTGCAGACGTTACAATGTTTGCTGCATAGATAAAGAAAGAAAAGATGGAAAATTTGAGAAATGGGAGATGGTAATGCCACACACAACATGGAAGTGAACTAATGACTACATCACTCGATCACGTGTTTTTCTATAAGCTAGCCTGTCAGATATTGATAGAGTAACAAAAATGACGAAATTACGTCAGTTTTCCATCTTTTTTTTCTTAATCTATGGTTTGCTGTGTGACGTTTGCTGCACCAACTAGCAGTGGAGTATGTAAAGCTGGCTCATAACCCAAATTTTAGCTTTCAACTCAAAATCGGCCAAGAGACAGTTCATATCTAAAAAACTCATAAGTTGGGACACTCTTAAGTCAAGGTGCCACTGTATTTTATAAATAAAATTATTATAATCAATACACACTGTTTTCTTGGATATCAAGAAGTAAAATTCTTCTTAACCATTTGGAATGTGAGTGAAGGAGCACACAGATGATGGCAAAAGGGAGAGGATCACCATGGTGTCAGTAGAGAATAAAGATTGATATTAAGTGGGGCAAGCAAGAATATTAGATAAGGCAAGAATATTAGATAAGGCGAGAAAAGGCAATATCATGAGTTACGTGGAAAATATGTGGGTTTATAAGGAAGTATTAAGGATGATTAATGTGAAGCATAGAAAGTTCTTGGTGTCTGTGTAGAAATGGATAGTGAAAAACTGGTTGTGTTAAATAAAAAGAGATAAAGGGTTAGAGAACAAATTTTCTTTCTATTTCATAAGGTGTGAGGGGTTGGAGAAGTACAAATAGATGGAGGACTAAAGGGAATAGTTTGGCAGTGTATTGAGTGGGTGGTCATTTTTATAGAAGGAAGTGGGAGTAATTGTATAATTTTTCTGACAGAAGGTGAGGGAGATTAGTTGGGAGCTAGTGAGAAGTGTGATGTGGTATGTTTGTAATGTGATGTTGAATCCAAGTCACTAGTGTCTTGATACCCAATGATGGATATTGGCTGGATGGCTGAGCAGTCAAGGTGGCAGCCTACTGCTGTGGGGGACCTGAAATCAAATCCGACAAGTTGAAAATTTCCAGGAATTTTTTAGAAAGGTCCGTCCAGATATGTCAGGCCCCATCCCTCACCACCTGGCCGCCCCATTGTGGGCCTGGCCAAATCCATAATGGGGCTTGCTAAAAGAGGTCCACTTAGTGCCCACAGGGCAGAAAATGAATTTTCATTGATGTTAAGCCTAACAAAAATTTTTTTAAAATAATAATTGTGTTTACCGTGTCGTTAAAAATTATTTTTTTTATGTTGCACAAACAAAATAAATATATTGAAAAATATAAAAATAAAAAAAAATTATATTTTAAAAGTTCATTTTAATATAAAAATTGTAATGCATAGCGACATCTAGTATCAAAAACATTCCAATGCAGACACGACAATATTCGGGATAGCCCACACAGGTCAATGAGGTCAACACGAAAATTTTCGGGAACAACGTAGGACAGGTTAAAAAAAAAACTGACCAAAAGGATTAGTGAAGAGTTTTACAGTTTGATATCCAAGAACAGATATTTGAAAGTAGATGTTTGAGGAATTTGAAAAATGAATTGTGTATGAATAATATGGCTAAACATTTTGTCTATCAAATAACTATCATCAGTTTACATTTAAACTAACATATGGATACTTAATAATTAAACAAAATAATGTGGCCAAAAAAAGACATCATTATGCAGTCATCTTGTGTTAAAAGTAGATTAAATTAAATAATTTAGAAGGTACTAGAAGAAAAGATTGACCTATAGTCTATTTATTGTAACTTGGCACCTACTGTAAACAAAGATTTTGTTGTATTAATCTGCCAGAGATTTTCATTGGTCAAATCACAATTGAAAGTGGCTAGACATGTGTTGACCAGTTAAGCCCCTTTCTCTGCACATGTTAAAGTAGATCAGAGTAGTCACAACAATTTAAAAATTACCAAGATAATACTTAGAAAAGTTATTATAGCTTACTTTAACATTTTTACGTAGCTTGTTTAAATTATTTCCATTGTTTAAATATAGTTTGTCAAAAATTAATATTAAATATATATTATTAAGAATTACACAAAAAATATTTATAATTTTATAGTTGAACATACTTCAAATTTTTATCTACACAACTATTTAATTAAATAGATGTATCAATAAAACAAAACAAAAAAATTCTCCAGCAATCCTTAAAAATCATACGCAAACTTCTAAAGGAAAATGTTACTGTAATGTATGAATTTATCACTGTTTTAAATGAATTTAAAATCAATGCCACTGCCATTTTAATGATATAAAAACTGTCGTTATTGGTTCTAATGCTCCTACTGTGCTACCACGTAGTGTGAAGGCCCAGAAACTCTGTTTTCCCACTTTTTAGGTAGACATTTTTAGCTTATGTTTTGTTTGATCAACACATGCTCCAGAAACTATCATTCATTGAGAAAACTCTACAGTTTCTATTGAAAACAAAGGTAAATATTTTGAAATAATCATTATCTATTATAATCAAGTGTTTGATAATATTTAAAAATAATTATTTGGTTATAAAAAATACTTTATTGAAAAATCTTACATATAAGGGGCAACTTTGGGACTGTTGTATAGTTACACAGTGAGCTTTAAGGAAGAAGGATACATCAGATGAGAACACTTAAAGTGATGACATGAACTTGGAAATGGTTTCTTATGTGGAGTCTGACGACAGTATGACATGGGTACCTGAGGAAATGGAAGACAAGCATCCTTTCACTCCTTTACAATCAATCGATGATAGATTACAACATGAGTTAAAACATTTATCTGAGGGAATGTTTGTTTTAATAAATTATGAAGGTGTTCTTTATCCTGGACTGATATTAAAACAGAAAAACGTTGGATACTCAATAAGGGCTATGGACAAAAGTGGGTTGTAATTGGAAATGGCCAAATAAGGACAACATCCTGGACTATACAGTAGATGTAGTACAAGTAATTGAGTCACCCAAAAAGATAAGTCGCCGGGATATTTACTGTGTAAAAGAACTAGTAAATTATGTACAATTTGGTTTAATTTTTTTCACTGCTAATATGATGATTGATATATATATATTTTTGTAAAAATTTATATTTTGCATAAATTGCATTAAGTTATTGACTATTTTTGATAAATAAAGATTGGTGACAGTCTAACGTTGCGACAATCCTACTTTTATACTGTTAAAAAACAAGAAAACGCTTTCTCCCAAAGTTACCCTACTTAAAGGGTAACTTTAGGACAAGAAAAAGGTGGGAGTATTTTTTTAAACCCTTGACCTGGGAGAGAAAGTATTGGTGAATTTAAAGAAAATAACATCATATTTATCTAACCAACACAATGCGAAATAGTTCATAATAGTCATTTGAACAGAGAGGTGCAAAAAGTGCAACCCAGTCCACTTTTACCAAACTATACCAAAGTAACCCCAGTCTACAGTAATTAAAAATTTTTTAAAATAATTATAGTGTTGTAAACTTACCCTATTAATCATCTGTATCAGAATATAGTTGCTCAAAGTAATCATTTATATCACATTCATCACTACTTGTATTCGACTGAATAATCAGTTTTTCTACAACAGTTTCCAAAATCTGATCAAGTTCCCACATTTGTTGTTCTTTTTCTATATGTTTGATACATTTTCTTCATTGTTCTTCAGTTATTCGTTGAATAGCTTTATTCATTAAAATTCACACATCCAACAGTTTGAATGTTGTGTTGTGATGTGCAATGTAATCTTTCATATCTGCCCATATCAATTCAATAGGATTTAAATTACAAAGATACGAAAGTAAATGTAACACACCAATACTTATTTCTTTGGCCATTTCGTAAATAATATATTTATCGTATTTATGTTTTATTTTTTTTAATAATATCCAAAAGTTCTATTTTCAACTTTTGTTGTTATGATGAACCCTATTTTTTTCCAACCAAGAAATTATGTCAGCTTTTTTCCAACTACAATTTGGAATCTTCTCAATTTTAGCTGAATGATATGGAGCATTGTTCATGACAACAGCATCATTACTTTCTAATTTTGATATTTTTTCAAACCATTTTTTGAAATTACTGCTATCCATTTCTTTGTGGTAATCTTTTGTTGACTTTGATTCAAATTCATATAGACCATCATTAAGAAAACCTGTATTGCTGCCTATATGAACAAGAACTATTCCTTTTCCCTTTCCAGAAGGATTTTTCAATCCAGTAGATCGTCCAGACATAAAAGCTTTGCAATATGATGTAACTGAACATTCCTTCCATACTTTATTCTTGATACGGCCAGCATTAATCCATGTTTTGTCCAAATAGTAAATCTTATGGTCTTAAGAATGCATTTCTCTTATTTTTTTGTAGATATTGTCTTCACCATAAAATGATATTGTCTCTTTCAATTAATCTACTATTTCTATTTCAGTTTGTATATTTAAAATTAAGTAATTTTAACAAATTATATATCGTAGCTCGAGTAAAATCTGGTAAATCTGGATCATCATTAACAGCCTGTAATATCTTATCTACAGTAGGTAATTAATTTAAAAAATAAAAATTGTGTACTTTACCTCTACTGGCAATTTTGTGAATTCATCATATTTGTCAACAAGTTGAGTATGCTTTTCGAAGGAGTTATTACTTTATCATTAGTAAAATATTCTTTACAAATTCTGTAAATGCTCCTTTCTGATATCTCTGTTGTCTTTGCTACCATTTTCACTATATCCTTCACACAGACTTCTGGATTTGTTTCAGTTAAAGAATTAAACAAATTTAATACTATTCATTTATCCGAGCTCCTCAGCAATTTTCCTTGTCGATGTTTAATTGTATTTACATTCAAGTTTTCCATTTTTGTAATTCAACAACACACTGTTTGAAATAACGATTATTGTTATTTCAAACTGTGTGTTGTTATTGTAATGAATGGAAAACGAAACCAAATCATTACAGTGCGCATGACTAGAAAAAGTTTATTTTTAATGATTCAGAATATACAAATATTCATTAAAATAACAATTTAACAAATATGAAATAATTGAATTTATAATCATTGCTAAGTGACTAGTATTTCATTAATAATTTTATAAATAATGAAGAACTATTTTCTGTGGACGAATGAGATGAAACTCAGTTTCTAATTGATGGACATGGGTTTAAACCAATAAACAAAGGGAAATGTGTCTTAGTTTGTTTATAGTAGGTGCCAAGTTACGATAAATAAACTATAGTTCAGCTTCTGAATATCCTGCACATGAATGATCAGCTGTGCAATTCAGACATTCCTCTGATCTTTGCTTCCAAACTGTAATTAAATTTAACACAAATGATGGCATAATTGTCTATCTTTCAGCCAGATTACTTTGTTTAATCATTAATTATACCTATTATAGTCCAAATGGCAATAGTTACTAGGTTAACTGAATTATTTGGATAGTTTAAATATATTTATGATATATACATGCGTTAATAAAAATAGATTATAAATAATAATCTAACTTAAAATTACAACTTCTATTAGAATTTTTGATATTCAATTATTGTAAAAGTATTCTAGAGGTAGCTATATATTTCCACAATTAAAACAACATTAATTAAAAATTTTTCTATTCTTTATGCGGAATTAAAAGAATTATATTAAACTTTCTGACTAGAATTACAAGAATCTTTTTTGAAAATATTTCATAAAAACCAAAAATTTAAACAAAAGTTATACACATATAATTATATAATACAGAAATTATTATTATATATGAGGGTCATCCAGAAAGTAATGACCTATTGTGCATTCCAGCTGCGCAGTTTGATCTTGGGCTACTATCCAAGATCAAATAGTTTCCTCGACATCTTTTCTCAGTGTTGTGTGAGTGCTAGTCGAAACAAGTTGTTATTGTGCATTCTTTGATTGTCAACAACGAACAGTGTGATACAAAGTCCTGCCGACTGTGAGGTCAGAAGCATTATTCGATTTTTGAATGCTCAGAAGTTGAAACCTGCAGAATTTTCCATCAACTAAAGGAAGTGTATAGTGATACAGTAATGAACGAAAAAAATGTGAGAAAGTGGTATGAAATGTTTAACAATGGACTAACAAATGTGCATGACGAAACTCAACCAAGACATCCATCACTCATCACAGATGATTTGAAGAATCAAGTGAAGAACAAAATTGGGCAAGACAGACACGTAATCTTGGACGAGTTACATGTATTTCTTTCCCTAACATTTCTCATTTTTTGCTTGGTGAAATTGTCTCTGAACATCTTGGCTGTAGCAAAATTTGTGCATGATGGGTTCCTTGGCAACCGAGTGACCAGCACAGAATACAGAGAATGGGTGCAGCACTGACATTTTTGACGTGGTATCACGCAGATGGAAATGCCTTTCTTGATCAAATTGTTACTGGCGATGAGACATGGGTGTCTCACTTCACCCCAGAGACCAATCACTAATCACTCAAGTGGCATCATCCTTCATCACCCAAAAAAACCACAAAAATTCAAACAAACTCTGTCGGCGTGAAAAGCTCATGGTGACAGTTTTTTTGGGGTCGTAAGGGTTCTCTTGGTGGATTTCATGCCAAAAGGCACTATGATCAATGCAGATTGATGTTGTGACACCCTAAGAAAATTACAGCAAGCAATCCAAAATTGTAGGCATGGAATGCTTTCTTGTGGTATTGTGCTTCTTCACGACAATACCAGCCCTCACACTGCTGCTGCAACCACAGGCTTGCTAGATCAATTTGGATGGGAAATTTTTGATCATCCACCCTACAGTCCAGACCTTGCTCCTTGCGATTTTAGCCTGTTCACAAAGCTCAAAGAGTTCCTGGGTGGGAAACGTTTTGGAAGCAATGACATGAAGAATGCAGTAAACAACTGGCTTAATGTACTGGTAACAGCCTACTACGACATGGGAATTCTAAAGCTCATGGACAGATATGACAAATGCTTAAATAATGACGGTGATTATGTAGAGAAATAAAGTAAGCTTCAATTTTGTATGTGACACGTTTTTGTTAATAAAATATATTTCCTTCATTTATTAAAACCAAACAATTGTTACTTTCTGGATGACCCTCGTAATTATTATTTTAGAAATTTTTAATATAATTTTTAAAATAAAAAAAGCCTTATGAAAATTTTTCATCAAGAAAATCATTAAACATTATCAGTGTATATTGTTCATTAATGTAAAGATAGGTAGGTCATCAATAGCATGTGTCAAAAGTTACAATTAATCAATTTCTTGAAGTTACAGAATAATAATAAAAAAAAAACTTTACATCATAAATAATGTACTCTATTAAGCAATTATAATAAAAATTAAAGTCAATTAATTTTGAGAATACCTGATAAAGAGGAAAGTCTTCACAACAAAGACCAATCACAATATATTTCTTCATATCTTCTGGATTGCTGCATTCAATAGAAAATGTGTATTTCTGTAAAATATAAAATTACTTTAATATTAGTTATGATAATTAAAATATTCATTTACATTTAAACATTTTACCTCAGTAATGAAAATTTGAAACAAACAAATAAATATTTTCCACTTCAAATATAATAATGAACTAGATATCCAGCAAATAGCAAACAATTCTATATCAAGCAATTTTGTTGTTGTTAACGATGATTGTTCACTGTGTAAAATTATTTATTAGATTAGCAACAATAAATCTTTGTTATAAAATCAATGTAGAAATTTTCTTACTTGCATTCTAATCCCAAAAATGAAGAAATAAATTGCTTCAAAAATGATCCTGAAATTTATCATAGGCTTGTTTAAATTATCAATAAATACCATGAAATAGTTTCTAAAGCCTTTTGCAAGGTGATATAAATATGCAAAACTAACCAATTATATTTTAATTTTTTTAAACATGAAATATTTTTTTACAAGAAAATTGTTAATGTTTAATTTTGTTAGCTAAGAATAATTACATTTTTATACATTAATTACTCATTTATTAATATTCAATGAAAAACTATAATTGTAAATATTTATTAAAAATATCCTTAATTATAACTCTTGAATAGATGTAATTAATTTACCTGAAATACAATAAATTGGATAAATCCAGCGAATGAACTTTAATGAATCCCATAATGATTCATAGATTAGAAGGAATAATTTTGGCTTTATTGTATGAATTTTTGGTTGCTGAAAAATAAAATTATATTTAAAAGAAATGAATTATAAAATTTCATCATATTTTGTTTTTATACCTATTATATTAGATGCAATACTTGAAACTGAATTTGTTCTAAACTTATATTTTTTTGTTTCATGCATATAAAATTCAATACAAAATTACAAATATGATAAATGAATTTAATTATAAACTATATACTTAATCAAACAAAATATAACCCAAATATGAAATTTAGTCTAAAGGTAGACAGTTAAGTCACTGGCTTCTGCTAAAATTAATTTTGAAATTTAACTGTAACACATTTGTGTGTTAAGCAGAAATTGCATGCAATCAAACATGCAATTTCTGCTTAACATGCAAAATTGATTGATGTTTTCTTCCAGAGTTTTCTCATAAAAATATTAAGCAACAAGTTAATAATAATTCAAGTTTAATTTGTTTAATAAATGTTAACTTTAACTAGCTTATTTTAAATAATTAAATGTTCTTTATTTAATGAAAAATTATAACTGATTCAATTTTATAATAAATTTATTTCATTAATTATAAGGTGGTGAGGGACAGGACAGGACTGACATATCTGGATAAATCACCCTGAAAAATTTCTGGAGTATTTTGACCTGTCCAGATTTGATCCCAGAGCCCTCAGAACAGTAGACTGCACCTTAAGTGCTTAGCCATCTGGCAAGTTTTAAAAAATTATGGTTTTAGTTTCAGTTGTTTGTATAAGCACATTTATTTATATTAATACAGTAATGGTTTTTCTGCATTTTTATATAATTTCTATGTTTATAGTAAAATATTTATCATCATATTTTTGTTGCAAATTTGAAATATGTTCTGTTTCACATACACTAGTTCAATTAAGTTGTTCCTGAAAATGATATGTTGAAAATTTTCAATTTATAAAAATATAATTTACCATACTGAAGTTTTAATCATATTTTAACTTCAAAAATTAATTGTTACTTTAGTTTGCATTCTTATATTATTATGAAATAAAGTGCTTAACTCTGTTTTTGAGGTTAATAAAACACTGTATCAATAAATATAAAACTTTATTGAGAAAGATTAAACAAGTATTTAGTAACAATTGAAGATAACTTAAAATGATGTAAATATACTATTATTTTTGTAGAATTTTGTCCGATGGCAATTAAGTTTAAAATTACATTTTAAATTTTAAACTTAATTAATTAATTGCCATCTGATGATATTCTACAAATTATTGAAATTATTCTGCAAAGATTCGTCACCAAGGGGCAGCTGAAAATCTACATTTACCAGCACTTCTATTTAATAGATAAAAAGCTCTATCATCCCTAAGTGGTAAGAATTGATAGAAAGAAGACATCTGTGGTATTGCCAGTTCCGATTTTTAAACTTATGTTTTTAATAGGATGTTTTGTCTCTGTTTTTAAGGAAAGTTTTAATTTTGACTGCCAATTAGCCTACAATGAAACATGAAAGGTCAGTTGTCAAAAGTTTGTATTCCAGAACATTTAAAGTCAATAAATGGCAGTTTCTTTCTCAACAGACTGTGTCTTCAATTTAATTTTATACTATTATTTTATTAACTTATGAACATATTCAAACTTTAATGTAATAATTTTTAAATTACAAAGGATATTTGTCATTTAAATTAAAATAAAAGTAATTACAAATTTCTAGAAATTCTACTTACTTGTATGATTGGAAACTCTACATAATTCCAATGGAGAAAATATTTAATACTATACAAACATCCCAAACAAAGACCATGAAGTATGACAAAAAGATGTTTCTCATTATAGAAGCATATGTATTTGCTGCAATAATATAATGTAATCAAAAATTATTTTCATAAGTATTGCCAATAATGTTTAAACTTTTAAATTTCACACATTTTGTAGGTTTAACAAAAAGATTTCACAAGATTTTATAAGTTTTCAAATTTTGTAATAAAAGTCTATTGAGTTATATCATTCTATTTTGAAACAGATAACTTAAATTTAAATTTAAGACAACAGAACAAAAATGAATAATAATAATAATAATAATAAGCAATTATTTATTTTGACATTGACACAATGCTGAGCTGCAATTTTTAATCATATTTTTAATTTATTTCATTTAAAATATGTACTCTTCATTTCAAATTAGTACTGTAGTGTCTTGCCCCTAAACATCATAATTTTCCATTAATTTAACAATAGATTTGTCAAGTCATCTATTAAGTGCTTTCAGGAAAAAGTTTTGAATTGAAATATTGTGACTTCCAGTTTGCATCGGAAGTTTGAATATCAGAACCTCCTGTCCCCAAGATTTCCATATCTGGTCTCAGATTTCATCTATCTAACTCCATTCTAGAGAGTAAGGACGAACAGACAACAGTGGTAATTTACAGGTCTATAATTTTTTTTCAAATTACAACCCAATAATAAATTCAATTTATAACAATTACAATTTTAAACTGATTTTAATTTAATTTAATTTATAACAAATTATTATGGTAGATAATGTTACAATGTAAATTAATATCAAGAAATAAGATTAAAAAGAAAAAAAAATGTATTTTTACTTATGCAACATTATATTTTTACTAAAACAAATTCCATGTTATCATAAACAATCTCAAATATTTATCAACTGAAATTTTTATAACTGAAAAATAGTTTACATATATTTTAAAATATTTTTAAGTTAACATAATATTTTTTTTAGATAGCTACTATAATAAGTTATATTCTTTAGAAATAAGACAATTCTTTCATTTATATAAGATTATTTAAAACAAATATTTAAACAAACATTCCTAATACATGAAAAAATGATGTATTACAAAACTGATTCATTTATTGGTGTAGAAAGTTATATATAAAATAAAAATTTTGCCTATCTATATTTTAAAACAAATTCTCTCTTTCAAACAATACAAAAATCATTAAAATTTTTATTAAAATTGTTTTATGAATTTCTTTTTTAAATTTTAATTCTTTTTCAATAATTAAAAATAATATATAAGTAAATAATATATTACAAAAACTTTTCTGTGAAAGATTGTTGTTATAGGAGGAGGAGGCGTGATGTGTGCGAGAGTAGAGGAGGCGTGGAGCTATGGCGAATCGTCGTTTGAGCGCTTGTTCTTTTTGCAAGCACAAAGTTTCGGAAAGTGACTTATTGACTTGTTCCAATTGCTCTAAATTTGCTCACTTCTATTGTTTTGGGATCCAGGCAGCAAACTTCCATAAGTTCAGCAAGTCTTACAAAAAAACTTGGAAATGTGAAGATTGCAAATTAGTGAAAATTGTTAAGAACAACGTAAATTGGACACAGGAACTGGAAGACGACAGAGAACTGGGTGAGTGTGAACAGATTATTATGACTTCACATAATTATAGTAAAAACGTGGATAGAACACCAGATAATCTAACTTTCACTCCAACGTCACCCTTAAGTATAACTACCAAAAATTCTGAAGTAATTTTACAAGAAGTCAAACTTATACACTTTGAGTTGAGTAACATAAAAGAAACAAACAAAGAAATTCAGAAATCGATAGAATTCTTAGCAAACAAGTTTGACAAAATGGAAGAGAGAATTAATATTTTAGAGAGAAACTATGTAACTGTTATAGAAACAATGACAGAACTAAAAGAAGAGAATAAAAGTACAAAGATAGAATTAAATTCTTTAAAAGAAAAATTCTGCATGTTGGAGCAGGATCTAAACAACTCTAGTTTGGAGATTGTTGGCGTGCCGACACTTCAGAATGAGAATTTAACAGAAATAGCATATAAAATTTTTTCGTTTATTGACGATAATTTTAATCAATCAGGTCTATTGAATGTCTATAGAATTAAATCCACTAATAACGAAAGAAATGAATTCAAAACTAAATCGCAACCAATTATAGTGAAATGTGCCAATTCAGTTGTCAAACAAAAAATTATAAATAATATTAAAAAGAAGAAGATAAAAATAACTACAAATGCGTGTCATATTATAAATGAGGAATATAGAATATATATAAATGAACATCTTACTCCATATTATAGAAATATTTTCTATAAAACCAGAATGTTAAAAAAACAAGGAAAAATATTAAACACTTGGACGAATAACGGAAATGTGTATTTAAAAAAGGATACTTCTTCTCCAACAATTCGGATACCAACATTGGACAGTTTAGAGAAAATTTTTCGGAATGATTGAATTATTAACACATACAAAGATAGATGACTTCTCCAAAAAGGGCATATTCGTTTTTTATTGCAACGTAAGAGGCTTAAATAATAAATATTTAGAAATACTTAAAACAATCGAGGAATATAACTGCAACTTTGATGTATTAGCTTTTTGCGAAACTTGGACAAATGATGTAAATCCTCCACCATATATAAAAGACTATCGGCTAGAAAAAATAGAAAGAAAACCTAATCAGCATGGAGGAATTGTAATATATATACATAGTGATAAACATTACGAAGTTGTTTCAGATCTAACTTTTACAAGAAATTATATAGATATAATTACGATAGTTATAGGTAATTTGATGATAGTAATAGTCTATCGTTCTCCATCTACAAACTACAGGATTTTTATGGATGTTATAAATGAAATACTATTACATAAATCAACTAAATATGGAAAATATAAATTGCAAATAATTGGAGATTTTAACATCGATTTACTTAAAAATAACTCCTCCGACACATCCGAACTGGTACATCTTTGCTTTGCTGAAAATTTAACAATTCTGGCTGATTTGAATCAACCGACTAGGTACGGAAAAAATACTCACTCTTTGATAGACTTTAGTCTAACAAACGATAGTGCGTGTCAATTTTTAATACATCAAAATTTGATATCTGACCATCTACCTATCATCGTCTTTACCCCCGAAAAAGACCTTGATACGAGGATAAAGAACAAAGAACTCTACCGTAGAATAAATAATTCCTCAATTTGCCGTTTACGTTACGCTTTGTCGTCTTGTTTCTCTTGGAATTATTACTATACCTCAAGTTTGACAACTGATCAATTAGCTGACTATTTATACACCATTTTACTCGTTTTTATTGATAAATATCTTCCGACTAAAGAATATGTGAAAAAAAATAAAACTAGCAGGAAAGACTTCTTAAAGAATTTTATATCTGAACATACGCTCGCATTAATTAAACAGAAGAAAACTTTACTTAAAATAGTCAAAAATAAAAATTGGACTACTTTCGAAGAACGAAACAAACATTTAGAAGATATACATACCTTGAATAAACAAATTAGAAAAAATATCCGTAATGAAGAGAGAAATTATTACAGTCTTCTGTTTTCTAATGTTAAATCTCCTTCTGACTTCTGGAAAAGCATTAAGACGTTACCCTTTCAGGTAACCAGGACAAAGAATAAGGCTAAAATAGATCATTTGAATTACAAAGGGAAAATGATAAATGATGAGTCCACTTTTAGTGATATTTTTGCCGAGCACTACAGGTCGTTGGAAGGCTTTGCTCCGGACGTCCTCGGCAATATTAACTCGAAGCAACATATAACAAATGTTAGTATTTCTAATACTTTCTTTTTGGAAAATACCACGGCCTTAGAAGTCTATAATACTATAGAAAATTTGAAAAACAGCACTCCAGACATCAGTTTCTTAAATATTAAAATCTTAAAACACATATCCGATATTTTAGCTCAACCTTTATCGTATCTGATAAATAAATCTTTTGAAAACGGTTACTTTCCAGAAAAACTAAATCAAAACTTAGTTTTGCCATTATATAAAAATAAAGGATCAAAAAGTGAAATTGAAAATTATCGTCCCATAATAATAGTGTCAGTGTTGGCTAAAATTTTCGAGAAGATTTTTTACAAGAGATTTTCAACTTTTATAGACAGATTCCAAGTTATTCACAGAAACCAATACGCATATAAACGAGGATTTTCGACGGTAGATGCTTTGTTGCATTTGAAACAATCCATAACGTCACAACTCGACAAATCTAAAATAGCAATTTCTGTTTTTGTGGACCTTTCAAAAGCATTTGATAGCTTAAATCACGAACTCTTGTATCAAAAATTGCAGACTGTTGGTCTAAGAGGGACTCCTCTAAGCTGGTTAAAATCATACTTGTCAAATAGAATTTACTTTGTAAAAATTGGACAGATTATCTCTAGCTCTTTCAGGCCAAACAAGGGCGTTCCTCAAGGTTCAATCCTGGGTCCACTGCTTTTCAATATATATATTAATGACTTGTTTAACTTTATACTAAAAGAAAATATATTGATGTACGCTGATGATCTAGTGATAACTTATTCTCATACAAACGCTATAATTCTTCAGGAGAATTTGAATCACATCTTAAAAATTTTAAACAGTTATATGGAAAACAATGGATTAGTAATTAACAAAAATAAAACTAAATTCCTCTGCTTTGCAAATAGGAATAAAATAATCAATCCGCATCACCTAAATATTAAAATAACTGATTTTAACATAGAAAAAGTAAATGCTATTAAGTTTTTGGGAGTAACTTTTGATGATAATTTGCGCTGGAATAAACATATAGATGATGTTGCACTTTCCCTGGCAAAGTATACTGGGATAAATAAGAAAATTCAGGCTTTTTTAAGCACATCACTCTCAAAACGACTGTACCACACTTGCATCGAATCTAGAATAAGATACGGTATCGCTGTATGGGGAACCGCATCTCTGTACGCAGTTAACAAACTTCAGATAGCACAAAATCGTTACTTGCGTTCAATTTATAATTTAAACTTTATGGAATCAGTATCCGAACTCTACCGCACCGAAAATATTGACAAGATTAGTGATATTTACAAGAAACAGATTCTATTGGAGAGCTTCAAATATATAAACGGAAAAAAAGAAAATAGCTTTCTCGGAATTGGTATAAGTGAATGTCGTAGATCAACACGTGATACTCGTATAATTCGTGACTATAGTCTTCCAATTGTTAAACTGGAGATGGGGAGATCTGCACCGATCTTTCAATTAATCTTCTATTGGAACAGTCTAGGCGACGATTTACGTAATATATCGAGTTATGAAATCTTCAGAAAAAATGTAAAAAAATGGAAAAAAGGTTAAGACTCAACGTTATTTGTTGTTAATTAATTTTTCTTTCTCAGCTCGCGTCCTGATTTTTGTTTGTTTGTTTGTTTGTTTTGATTAACTGTTAAGATGCTTGTAAAAGGCCAACCTGGCCACAGTGTCTTTTGAAGAAAAAAAAAAAAAAAATATAGACTATAAATGCATCAAACTTAACAATAAACTTACCTTTCATTTGTACAGGGTTCAAACAAATTACTATAATTAGTACATAATAATTTCAAAAACAATGATGATGAAAATGCTCCTAATATGCCATGAAATATTAAATGCAAAATTCTTTTCGGATGAATATTATAAATAATATATTCCAAACGTGTTGTGTGGATTATTGGTTTAACTGAAATACATAAAATTTTAAATTGTTAAAATAATTTATTTACTTTAAGATTATCTTATAACATACTATGTAAAAATGATTAATAAATTTAAAAATTTACTAAATACAAATTATACTTTTAAACATTTCACAATAATTTGTAACACATGTTTTTACTTCCTTTTATAGACTAAGCNAGATTCGTCACCAAGGGGCAGCTGAAAATCTACATTTACCAGCACTTCTATTTAATAGATAAAAAGCTCTATCATCCCTAAGTGGTAAGAATTGAAAGAAAGAAGACATCTGTGGTATTGCCAGTTCCGATTTTTAAACTTATGTTTTTAATAGGATGTTTTGTCTCTGTTTTTAAGGAAAGTTTTAATTTTGACTGCCAATTAGCCTACAATGAAACATGAAAGGTCAGTTGTCAAAAGTTTGTATTCCAGAACATTTAAAGTCAATAAATGGCAGTTTCTTTCTCAACAGACTGTGTCTTCAATTTAATTTTATACTATTATTTTATTAACTTATGAACATATTCAAACTTTAATGTAATAATTTTTAAATTACAAAGGATATTTGTCATTTAAATTAAAATAAAAGTAATTACAAATTTCTAGAAATTCTACTTACTTGTATGATTGGAAACTCTACATAATTCCAATGGAGAAAATATTTAATACTATACAAACATCCCAAACAAAGACCATGAAGTATGACAAAAAGATGTTTCTCATTATAGAAGCATATGTATTTGCTGCAATAATATAATGTAATCAAAAATTATTTTCATAAGTATTGCCAATAATGTTTAAACTTTTAAATTTCACACATTTTGTAGGTTTAACAAAAAGATTTCACAAGATTTTATAAGTTTTCAAATTTTGTAATAAAAGTCTATTGAGTTATATCATTCTATTTTGAAACAGATAACTTAAATTTAAATTTAAGACAACAGAACAAAAATGAATAATAATAATAATAATAATAATAAGCAATTATTTATTTTGACATTGACACAATGCTGAGCTGCAATTTTTAATCATATTTTTAATTTATTTCATTTAAAATATGTACTCTTCATTTCAAATTAGTACTGTAGTGTCTTGCCCCTAAACATCATAATTTTCCATTAATTTAACAATAGATTTGTCAAGTCATCTATTAAGTGCTTTCAGGAAAAAGTTTTGAATTGAAATATTGTGACTTCCAGTTTGCATCGGAAGTTTGAATATCAGAACCTCCTGTCCCCAAGATTTCCATATCTGGTCTCAGATTTCATCTATCTAACTCCATTCTAGAGAGTAAGGACGAACAGACAACAGTGGTAATTTACAGGTCTATAATTTTTTTTCAAATTACAACCCAATAATAAATTCAATTTATAACAATTACAATTTTAAACTGATTTTAATTTAATTTAATTTATAACAAATTATTATGGTAGATAATGTTACAATGTAAATTAATATCAAGAAATAAGATTAAAAAGAAAAAAAAATGTATTTTTACTTATGCAACATTATATTTTTACTAAAACAAATTCCATGTTATCATAAACAATCTCAAATATTTATCAACTGAAATTTTTATAACTGAAAAATAGTTTACATATATTTTAAAATATTTTTAAGTTAACATAATATTTTTTTTAGATAGCTACTATAATAAGTTATATTCTTTAGAAATAAGACAATTCTTTCATTTATATAAGATTATTTAAAACAAATATTTAAACAAACATTCCTAATACATGAAAAAATGATGTATTACAAAACTGATTCATTTATTGGTGTAGAAAGTTATATATAAAATAAAAATTTTGCCTATCTATATTTTAAAACAAATTCTCTCTTTCAAACAATACAAAAATCATTAAAATTTTTATTAAAATTGTTTTATGAATTTCTTTTTTAAATTTTAATTCTTTTTCAATAATTAAAAATAATATATAAGTAAATAATATATTACAAAAACTTTTCTGTGAAAGATTGTTGTTATAGGAGGAGGAGGCGTGATGTGTGCGAGAGTAGAGGAGGCGTGGAGCTATGGCGAATCGTCGTTTGAGCGCTTGTTCTTTTTGCAAGCACAAAGTTTCGGAAAGTGACTTATTGACTTGTTCCAATTGCTCTAAATTTGCTCACTTCTATTGTTTTGGGATCCAGGCAGCAAACTTCCATAAGTTCAGCAAGTCTTACAAAAAAACTTGGAAATGTGAAGATTGCAAATTAGTGAAAATTGTTAAGAACAACGTAAATTGGACACAGGAACTGGAAGACGACAGAGAACTGGGTGAGTGTGAACAGATTATTATGACTTCACATAATTATAGTAAAAACGTTGATAGAACACCAGATAATCTAACTTTCACTCCAACGTCACCCTTAAGTATAACTACCAAAAATTCTGAAGTAATTTTACAAGAAGTCAAACTTATACACTTTGAGTTGAGTAACATAAAAGAAACAAACAAAGAAATTCAGAAATCGATAGAATTCTTAGCAAACAAGTTTGACAAAATGGAAGAGAGAATTAATATTTTAGAGAGAAACTATGTAACTGTTATAGAAACAATGACAGAACTAAAAGAAGAGAATAAAAGTACAAAGATAGAATTAAATTCTTTAAAAGAAAAATTCTGCATGTTGGAGCAGGATCTAAACAACTCTAGTTTGGAGATTGTTGGCGTGCCGACACTTCAGAATGAGAATTTAACAGAAATAGCATATAAAATTTTTTCGTTTATTGACGATAATTTTAATCAATCAGGTCTATTGAATGTCTATAGAATTAAATCCACTAATAACGAAAGAAATGAATTCAAAACTAAATCGCAACCAATTATAGTGAAATGTGCCAATTCAGTTGTCAAACAAAAAATTATAAATAATATTAAAAAGAAGAAGATAAAAATAACTACAAATGCGTGTCATATTATAAATGAGGAATATAGAATATATATAAATGAACATCTTACTCCATATTATAGAAATATTTTCTATAAAACCAGAATGTTAAAAAAACAAGGAAAAATATTAAACACTTGGACGAATAACGGAAATGTGTATTTAAAAAAGGATACTTCTTCTCCAACAATTCGGATACCAACATTGGACAGTTTAGAGAAAATTTTTCGGAATGATTGAATTATTAACACATACAAAGATAGATGACTTCTCCAAAAAGGGCATATTCGTTTTTTATTGCAACGTAAGAGGCTTAAATAATAAATATTTAGAAATACTTAAAACAATCGAGGAATATAACTGCAACTTTGATGTATTAGCTTTTTGCGAAACTTGGACAAATGATGTAAATCCTCCACCATATATAAAAGACTATCGGCTAGAAAAAATAGAAAGAAAACCTAATCAGCATGGAGGAATTGTAATATATATACATAGTGATAAACATTACGAAGTTGTTTCAGATCTAACTTTTACAAGAAATTATATAGATATAATTACGATAGTTATAGGTAATTTGATGATAGTAATAGTCTATCGTTCTCCATCTACAAACTACAGGATTTTTATGGATGTTATAAATGAAATACTATTACATAAATCAACTAAATATGGAAAATATAAATTGCAAATAATTGGAGATTTTAACATCGATTTACTTAAAAATAACTCCTCCGACACATCCGAACTGGTACATCTTTGCTTTGCTGAAAATTTAACAATTCTGGCTGATTTGAATCAACCGACTAGGTACGGAAAAAATACTCACTCTTTGATAGACTTTAGTCTAACAAACGATAGTGCGTGTCAATTTTTAATACATCAAAATTTGATATCTGACCATCTACCTATCATCGTCTTTACCCCCGAAAAAGACCTTGATACGAGGATAAAGAACAAAGAACTCTACCGTAGAATAAATAATTCCTCAATTTGCCGTTTACGTTACGCTTTGTCGTCTTGTTTCTCTTGGAATTATTACTATACCTCAAGTTTGACAACTGATCAATTAGCTGACTATTTATACACCATTTTACTCGTTTTTATTGATAAATATCTTCCGACTAAAGAATATGTGAAAAAAAATAAAACTAGCAGGAAAGACTTCTTAAAGAATTTTATATCTGAACATACGCTCGCATTAATTAAACAGAAGAAAACTTTACTTAAAATAGTCAAAAATAAAAATTGGACTACTTTCGAAGAACGAAACAAACATTTAGAAGATATACATACCTTGAATAAACAAATTAGAAAAAATATCCGTAATGAAGAGAGAAATTATTACAGTCTTCTGTTTTCTAATGTTAAATCTCCTTCTGACTTCTGGAAAAGCATTAAGACGTTACCCTTTCAGGTAACCAGGACAAAGAATAAGGCTAAAATAGATCATTTGAATTACAAAGGGAAAATGATAAATGATGAGTCCACTTTTAGTGATATTTTTGCCGAGCACTACAGGTCGTTGGAAGGCTTTGCTCCGGACGTCCTCGGCAATATTAACTCGAAGCAACATATAACAAATGTTAGTATTTCTAATACTTTCTTTTTGGAAAATACCACGGCCTTAGAAGTCTATAATACTATAGAAAATTTGAAAAACAGCACTCCAGACATCAGTTTCTTAAATATTAAAATCTTAAAACACATATCCGATATTTTAGCTCAACCTTTATCGTATCTGATAAATAAATCTTTTGAAAACGGTTACTTTCCAGAAAAACTAAATCAAAACTTAGTTTTGCCATTATATAAAAATAAAGGATCAAAAAGTGAAATTGAAAATTATCGTCCCATAATAATAGTGTCAGTGTTGGCTAAAATTTTCGAGAAGATTTTTTACAAGAGATTTTCAACTTTTATAGACAGATTCCAAGTTATTCACAGAAACCAATACGCATATAAACGAGGATTTTCGACGGTAGATGCTTTGTTGCATTTGAAACAATCCATAACGTCACAACTCGACAAATCTAAAATAGCAATTTCTGTTTTTGTGGACCTTTCAAAAGCATTTGATAGCTTAAATCACGAACTCTTGTATCAAAAATTGCAGACTGTTGGTCTAAGAGGGACTCCTCTAAGCTGGTTAAAATCATACTTGTCAAATAGAATTTACTTTGTAAAAATTGGACAGATTATCTCTAGCTCTTTCAGGCCAAACAAGGGCGTTCCTCAAGGTTCAATCCTGGGTCCACTGCTTTTCAATATATATATTAATGACTTGTTTAACTTTATACTAAAAGAAAATATATTGATGTACGCTGATGATCTAGTGATAACTTATTCTCATACAAACGCTATAATTCTTCAGGAGAATTTGAATCACATCTTAAA